TCGTTTACATTTCATTGTTTAAATTTCAGAACTGATATGATAATGGCATAATAATAATCATTATTATACGAATGATTTTAAGAATGCGCTTATCTATTCGTTTGATTTCGCTGAAGCGCAGAAAAGTTCATCTGAAAAATTTGAATTTACAATTGAGAGATTACACTTTCATTTACAATTTTTAGATTTATAACTGACAATTTTAATTTACTATTAGAGTTTACAATTTACAACTTCGAATTTGCGAAATTTGCAGATTTAATTAAAAATTAAAGTATATAGTATTAAAAGTTTTGATAGGAGGTGATTAGAAGAAATTCTTTGGATATTGGTTGATAGGAGAGGATCGATGGAGTGAGTGGTCTGTCGAGTAAAATTCGGGTGTTGAAATGAGAATGTGCATTCAGATTTTTCGTATGCTTACTGGCAACGTTTTCTACCGGTGTTATTCGTGTTTATGTCGATGTGCTTATGGCTGGTGATATTCTTCAGTCAACCTCACAAAGAAGAACGTTTCTTGTTCCCAATTTATCCACTGATTGCACTGCTTGCCGCAGTTACGTTGGATGCGATACCGAGGTGAGGTTTGCTCTGGGAATTGATTCGAGTTGGCGTTTTGTTTGGTATTTGAATAATTTATATTACTTTATGTAATTGATATTACTTTAATAATTGATATACTTTATACTTGAATTGATTTGAATAATTGAAATAATTGATAATATGGACTACTTTAAGTAATGAAAGTGTTTGAATGATGAACATTAGATGAGTTTGATTAGATACGTTATGTTTTCGTGTGAGAGTGATGATTACTGCAGAGTTGGTACGAGCCTTTTGGGTGGAGGCACTCGAAAGGTGTGGCATTTTTGTGTGGGAGCGTATCTGGTCGTGTTCGTGGTGCTTTCCCTGTCGCGATCGGCCGCATTGCATCGCAATTTCTCTGCCCCAATCGAGGTGTTCAAAGGACTGAACGAGCATTTGACCGTTCCAGCAAATCTCGACAAACAACGTTATCAGGCGAGAGAGGTTCGTTGGATGAGTTAGAAATTGTATTGAGTTGGTAGTGGTGTGACTATTGTTATGTGCTGATTTTGGAATTGAGTTAATTTTATTGAATTAATTATGTTAATTTTATTCTATTTTATTATTGAACATTTATTTCAGTGAATTTTTGATTTTATTAATTTGGATGAGTTAATTTATTGAACTATTTGCATTGGATGAGTTTATGAAATATTGTTATGCA